TCCTGTGAGACTTTTCATTATGATTTCAAACTCATTAATTGTTATTAGTCTGTTTAGGTTTTAAATTTCTTCATGATTTAATCTTGGTAGGATGTATGTGTCTAGAAATTTATCCATTTCTTCTAGATTTTCCAATTTATTGGCATATAGTTGCTTGTAGTAGCCGGTAATGATCTTTTGTTTTTCTGCAGTATTGGTTGCAATGTCTGATTTTATCTCTAATTTTATGTATGTGGGTCTTCTATTTTTCTTTGTTAGTTAGGCTAAAGGTTTATATTTTTTGGTTTCTTTTCATAAAACCAAGTTGTTTTCTTCATTTCAATCATTTTTACTTTCTACTAATTTTGGATTTGGTTTGCTCTTGCTTTTCTAGTTCTTTAAAATGCATTATTGGGGTATTTATTTGAAATTTGTTTTATGTAGGTACTTATTGCTATAAACTGCCCTCTCAGTACTGCTTTCTCTGTATCCCTGATGTGTTTCAAGATATTTTTCACTTTCTTTCTTATTTTCTTCATTCACCCACTTGTCATTTAGGAGCATATTGTTTAATTTCCATGGGTTTCTTTAGTTTCCAAAATTCATCTTGCTATTGACTTCTAGTTTTATTCCATTGTGATCAGAGAAGATACTTGACATTATTTCAATTACTTTGAATGTTTTGAAACTTGTTTTGTCTATCCTTGAGAATTATTCATGTGCTGAGGAAAAAACTGTTTATTCTGAAGCCATTGGATGAAATGTTTTGTAAATATCTATTAGGTCCATTTGTTCTACATGGCAGATTAAGTCTAATGTTTCTGTGTTAATTTTCTGTCTGAAAGATCTTTCCAGTGCTGAAAGTGTTATGTTGAAGTCTCCAGCCTTTTTGTATTACAGTCTCTCTCTTTAACTCTAGTAGTATTTGCTTTATATATCTGGATGATCCAGAATTGAAGAATGCATATATACTTAAAATTGTTATATCCTTTATCATTCTACAATGACCTTCTTTGTCTCTTTTTATTTTATTATTTTATTTATTTATTTTTTTTTTTTGAGATGGAGTTTTGCTCTTTTTGCCCAGGCCAGAGTGCAATGGCATGATCTCGGCTCACTGCAACCTCTTCCTCACAGGTTCTAGCAATTCTCCTGCCTCAACCTTCTGAGTAGCTAGGATTACAGGCACCCACCACCATGCCTGGCTAATTTTTTAGTAGAGATGGGGTTTTGCCATGTTGGCCAGGCTGGTCTTGAAATCCTGACCTCAGGTGATCTGCCCACCTTGGCCTCCCAAAGTGCTGGGATTACAGCCATGAGCCACTGGGTGCTTCTTATAGTTGTGGTCTTGAAATCTCTTTTGTCTGATATAAGTACAGCAACTCCTACTCTCTTTTGGTTTCCATTTATATGGAATATCATTTTCCATCCCTTTATTTTCAGGTTATGTGTATTTTTATAGGTGAAGTATGTTTCTTATAGGCAACAGATCATTGGGTCCTATTTTCTCATCCATTCACCCACTCTATATCTTTTGATTAGAGAGTTTAGTCTATTTATATTAAATGTTATTGATGAATTAAAGACTGGTTCCTGTCATTTTGTTATTTGTTTTTTGGTTGTTTTGTGATCTTCTTTCCTTTCTTCCTGTCTTCCATATAAAGAAGGTAATTTTCTCTGGTGATGTACCCTGTTTTTAGAATTGTGGTTACCATGAAGCTTTCCAAATAGTATCTCATAACTTATTTTAAACCGATGACTCCTTAACACTGATTGTGTAAACAAACTAGCAAACAAGCAATAATAAAAACTAAAAGCAAAAAGAAACTAAAAGAAACAAAAATAAAACTAATAGAAACTCACTCTTTAACGTCATCTCCCTGGTTTATAATTTTACTTTCTCTATCTTATTTTACTGTCTATGTCTTGAAAAGTTATTGTAGTTATTTTTTTTATCTTTTCATAACACCACAGTTACAGTGTTATAATAGTCTGTGATTTTCTGTTTTGTACATTCAAATGATTTTTTTTGTTGTTCATTAAAAACTTTTTCTTTCATACTGAAGTACTCCCTTGAGCATTTATTGTCAGACAAAAGCTGAGGAATTTCATCAACACTAGACCTTTCTATGAAAGTCTTTACTTCTCCTTCATGTTTGAAGAATATTTTCACCAGATAAACTATTCAAGGGTAGAAGTTTTTTGTTTTTTTTTTCTTCAGCACTTTACTGCCAGATGTATTGGAGCCCCATTGCTTGTTGTTTTCTCTTGCTGCTTCTACGATTCTTTCCTTATTCTTGACCTTTGAAAAAAAAATCTTTTTTTCGAGGTGGAGTCTCACTCTGTTGCCCAGGCTGCAGTGCAGTGACATGATCTTGGCTCACTACAACCTCTGCCTCCTGGGTTCAAACAATTCTCTGCCTCAGCCTTCCAAGTAGCTGGGATTAGAGGCACCCACCACCATGCCCAGCTAATTTTTGTATTTTTGGTAGAGATGGTGTTTCACCATCTTGGCCAGGCTGGTCTTGAACTCCTGACCTCACCTCAGCATCCCAAAGTGTTGGGATTACAGGCGCAAGCCACCTACCCAGCTGGAAGTGTGATTATTAAATGCCTCAGGGTAGTCTTCTTTGGGTTAAATCAGCTTGGTGTTCTATAACCTTCTTGTACTTTCTCTAGGTTTGGAAAGCTCTCTATTTTTACCCCTCCAAATGAACTTTCTACTTTTATCTCTTCCTCTACCTCCTCTTTAAGACCAATAACTCTTAGATTTGCTCTTTTGAGGCTATTTTCTAGATCCTGTAGTCATGCTTCATTGTTTTTTATTATTTTTTCATTTTGTCTCCTCTGTGTATTTTCAAATAGCCTGTATTCAAGCTCACTAATTCTGCTTTATCCGTTCTGCTATTAAGAGACTCTAATGCATTACTCAGTATGTCAAATGCATTTTCCATTACAGAATTTCTGCTTGACTCTTTTTAAATTTATCTGATAGAATTCTTCATTTCTTCTCTGTGTTATCTTGAATTTCTCTGAGTTTCTTCAAAACAGTTATTTTGAATTCTCTGTCTGAAAGGTCACATATCTTTGTTTCTCCAGGATTTTTTCCTGGTGCCTTACTTAGTTTATTTGGTGAGGTGTTTTCTGGATGATGTTGATGGTTATTGATGTTTGTCAGTGTCCAAGCATTGAACATTTGGGTATTTATCATAATCTTCACAGTCTGGGCTTGTTTGCAGCCATCTTTCTTCAAAAGGCTTTCCATGCACTTGAAGTGATTTAGGTATTATGAGCTAAGCCAAACTGCATTAGGGGCCACACCAAGCCCAGTAACACTGTGGTTCTTGCAGACTTGTAGAGATACCACCTTGGTGGTTGTACATAAGATCTAAAAGAATTATCTGCATTACCAGGCAGAGACTCTTACTCTCTTTCCTTACTTTTCCACATAGATGATGCCTGTCTCTCTGTCCTGATTCGGGTGACACAAGCCCCCACTGTGGCCACCATCTCTGGGACTGCAGAGTCCAGACCTGAAGCCAGCACAGTACTAGTTCTTGCTCAAGGCCTGCTGTAACCACTACCTACCTACCACCTATGTTTGCTAAGTGCCTAGGGCTCTACAGTCAGCCGGTGGCAAAGCCACCAAACTTATGTTCTTTCCTTCAGGACAGTGAGTCCTCCCAGGCCCTCCTGCATCCAGAGATGCTATCTGGGAGCCAGAAACTGCAGTCAAAAACCTTAGAAATCTACCTGGTGCTTTATATTGCCATGGCTAAGGCCACTCTGCCCTGCCCTTTCCACAAGCCAAGGAGTCTCTCCCTGTGGCTACCACTACCACAGGCCCACAGGGAGTACTATCAGGCTACCACTGATGTTCATTTAAGGCCCCAAATCTCTTCAGTCAGCTTGTGGTATATATTGCTAGGCCTGACACTTACCCTTCAGGGAAGTGTGCTCCCCTGTGGCCCAGGGCAGGTCCAGAAAGGCGATCCAAGAATCAAGGCCTGGAAATGGGGACACCAAGAACTTGATGCTCTACCCCACTGTGGCTGAGTGGTACCTAAGGTACAAGACAAAGCCTCCTTTACTTTATACTCTGCCTTCCTCAATTAAAAGGAGTCTTTCCCTATAGACAACTCAGCTAGGAATGTGCTGAGTCAGACCTGAAGCCAGCATATCTAAGTCTTACCCATAGCCTAGGGTATGTATTACCTGGGTTTAAGTGCTGGTTATTCAGCATTAAAGTGCTCTTTAGTCAGCAAATGATGAATCCTGCCATGACTGGCTACTTCCCTTAAAGGCAGTGGGTTCCCTTCCAGCCCAGGGTGTGTCTAGAAATGTCATCCAGGAGCTAGGAGCTGGAATGGGGAACTTTAAGGCTCTTCCCAGTGCTCTATTGTACTGTGACTGAGCTAGTATTCAAGATACAACACAAAGTCCTCTTTACTCTTCCCTCTTCTCTCCTCAAGAAGGAAGAAGTCAGTTTTTTTTTGCTGCGAGCTCTGCTGCCTGGTATTGGAGGAGGGGTGGTGCAAGCACTCTCTTAACTGCCCCAGCTAGTGTCTCATTAGGATGTGTGCGCCCAACATCCACTGTCTTCGTACCCAGCACAGTGCTAATTGTAGTCCATGGGACCTACACTGCCTTCCAAGTTTGTTTAGAACCCCAGAGCACTTTAGCCCATGGTGGTGAGGCTTGCTGGAGCTCAAGTTCTGACTGCTGGGATTGGCAGTTCCACTCTGGCTAGGGCTGGTCTAAATCCTCTCTCCGTGGGTGGACATCAACTGAGTTCAGGCTGGGTTTGCTTTCCACTGTGACAGGGCAGTAAGGAGTTGAATGCACTCTCACAGGCACTGAGATTTCCCTTCCTCAAATACACAGATTCTCCATGCCACATAGTCATAGTGGTGGGGATGGAAGAGGGGTAGCATTAGTGATTCAAAATTGTTTTTTCTATCCTCTTCAGTGCTTCTTTCAGTGATATGAAGAAGTTAATACCAGGTACTGTGATTGCTCACCTGAGTTTTGGTTCTTATGAAAGTGCTTTTTTATGTAGATGGTTGTTAAATCTGGTGTTCCTGCAGGGGGGATGATCAATGGAGGCTTCTATTTGGCCATCTTGCTCAGCCTCTCCCATCTGTTGAAAGAATTTAAAGTGAACTAAATAAATAGAAAGATATTCCATAATCATGCATCAGATGGCAAAATACCCCAAATTAACATATACATTCAATGCAAATCTATTACAATCCCAGCAGCCTTCTTTGCAGGAAAGACAAGCTAATTCTAAATTCATTTTGAAATTTAAGAGATCCAAAATAGCCAAAATAATGTTGAAAAAAGAACAAAGTTGGAAGACTCATACTTTCTGATGTTAAAACATACTACAACCCCGTAGTAATTAAGAAAGCGTAGTGCTGGCATAAGAATAGACATATAGATTAATGATATAGAAGTCAGAGCCCAGAGATAAACCTTATTTTGACATTAAATTGATTTTCAGGAAGATCGTCATGAATCTTTCAACAAATAGTGCTGGGAAACTATATTCACATTCAAAACAATGAACTGAACTCCTACTCCACATCAAACAAAAAAAATTAACTCATGATCATTGATCTAAATGTAAAGCCAAAACTCTAAAGCTCTCAGAAGAAAATACAGGAGAAAACCTTTGTGACTCTTAGTTAGGCATACACTTTTATAAAACAGAATAAAGTCAAGCAACAATTTTAAAAAATAGGTAAACTAGACTTAATCAAAATTAAAAATATTTGTTTCAAATGATACATCAAAAAGTAAAAAGATAAATCATAGAATGATGAAAATAGTTGTAAATTATATATGTGATGAGTCTTGTATCTACTATATAAGAATATTACAACTCAATAATAAAAAGACAATTTAAAAATGTCAAAGGATTTGAATAAACATTTCTCCAAAGCAGATACATAGATGGCCAATAGACAAATGAAAATGTGCTCAATATTATTGACCATCAGGAAACTAATCATACTGTAGCATTTTAATTTACATTTATCTTATCTGAAGCATAAGGAAAGTCATAACCTCTTGACTCTTCCTGAGAGTCATGAGATCCCCCATCCCAATCCCTAGCTCCTGGATGACATTTCTAGACACACCCTGGGACAGAAGGGAACCCGCTGCCTTGAAAGGAAGGAACTAGTCCTGGCAGTGTTCATCATGTGCCGACTAAAGAGCACTCGGACCTTAAGCATAAAGTAAATGTAAATTAAAATGCTACAGCTTTAAAAATATGAGGTTAGGGTTCTCATATATTAGCCCCACCTTTCCTTTAATGTTTTAGGATAGAACTAATGCTCTATTCTTGTTAGGAGAAAGTATACTTACACATTTGATGCTTTTTTAAATTTAAGGCTAACAATTAAACACACACACACACATACTCCACATCATTAGAGAAAAATTTTACAAAAATCAACTCAAGGTGGAGAATTAAAGAAACAAAAACATCTGTTATGATGGTATAAGTCCAAATATATCTGTGGTTGTAATTCATATAAATGAATTAAAATCACCAAATAAAAATTAGGGGTTTTCATATTATAAAACAAGTAAAACCTAATAAATGATAGAAACAATAAACCAATGGGCCAGAGTAGTACTAAGTCAAGGTATATGCTACTTCCTGGAGAAACATCTGTAAGAAATCTAAGAGAAGAGTTTAAAATACAGTAATGAAGAAGATACATCATATAAATCAGGCATCCCCAACCCTGGGAGCATGGACTGGTACCTGTCCATGGCCTGTTAGGTACCAGGCAGCACAGCAGGAGGTGAGCAGCTGATGAGAGAGCGTGACCACCTGGCTCCGCCTCTCAGCTCAGCAGGGCATTAGGTTATCATAGGAGTGCAAACTCTGTTGTGAACCGTGCATGCGAAGGATCTAGGTGGTGTGCTCCTTATGAGAACCTAATGCCTGATGATCTGAGGTGGAACAGTTTCATCCTGAAACTATCCCCACCTCCCACAATGCCCCATCCCCCATCCATAAAAAAAATTGATGTCTAAGAAACCAGTCCCTGGTGCCAAAAAGGTTGGGGACCACTGCTGCACAGAGGGAAAGAAAGTGAATAGAAATAAAGAGCATAACTTTCTGAAAATAGATGAATAAAATCAGATATGTTTGAATATATTTCTATGTATGAAAAATCATTTAGAGATAGTTACAAAATGTCATTAGAGCAAACTTGAATAAAAGAATAAATATATTTTGTGGATGGCAGTACAATGTGATAAAACATAAAATTTCTAAATGTTAAATAATATATTATCTCAATATTATTCCATTCAAAATTACACAGGGGTTTTCATGAAACTTAACAAACTCCACCTAAAATTCATAGGCAAGAAAAGCATCAAGAATAACTAAGATATCACATGATCTCACTCATGTGTGCAATCTAAAAAAGGTTGATCTTGGCCAGGCGTGGTGGCTCATGCCTGTAATCCCAGCAGTTTAGGAGGCCGAGGTGTGTGGATCACCTGAGGTCAGGAGTTCAAGGCTAACATGGCGAAACTCCATCTCTATTAAAAATACAAAATTAGCCAGGCATCATGACGGGTGCCTGTAGTCCCAGCTTCACGGGAGGCCGAGGCAAGAGAATTGCTTGAACTCAGGAGGTAGAGGTTGCAGTGAGCCAAGATCGTGCTATTGCACTCCAGCCTGGGCGACAGAGGGGAGGCTCTGTCTCAATCAATCAACCAATCAGTTGCTCTTATAAAGGTTGAGAGTAAAACTGTGATTACCACAGCCTGAGAAGGGTAGAGAGGAGGGGAGCATTATTAGAGGTTGCTCAACAGGTACAATATTAGATAACTAGATAGGAGGATGACTACAGCCAACAATAATGCATTGTATGTTTCAAATAGCTAGAGGAGAGGATTTTGAATGTCCTTACAGCAAAAAAATAAAATAAGGTGATGAGTATGCTCATTACCATGACTTGATGATTACACAGTGTATGCATGGATCAAAACGACATATTGTACCCCATAAATACGTATTATTCAATTATTATGTGTTAAGAGAATAATAACTAAGATGTATTTGAAGAAGGATAAGGCAGGGGGCAACTTGTTATCCCAGCTATAAAACGTTTTGCAAAGTTTTGCAAAGTATAATAAAAATCCAGAATAATGAAAGCATAAAAATAAATAGATTGGTGGAATAGAACAGAAAATCCAAACTAAGTCCTGTGATTAACTAGACAGATGAGAACTGACTTTACAAATTATGGATAAAGTATATACTCTTCAGTATATTGTGCTTACATAATTCTACATCCACAGTAAAAAAAAGTAAAATACTCCATGCAGTACAAGGAATTAAATTACAGAGAAATTAAATTTCTCATAATTTAGAAGTTTAAAACTTTCAGAAGGGAATATAGGACAATATGAGCTTGACATCCTGTAGGAATATTTTAACAAAACACAGAAAGTAATCATAAAGAAATAAAATAGTACAATTAATCTCAATTAAATTATTTTTTTTGAATGATATGAAACACCATAAAGCAACTGAAATGGAAAGTCACTGATTGTGGCTATTCACGAATAAAAGACAAATGTTTATTCTAGTATAAACCCTTTTGGAGCCAGCTGAGCTGGTTAGAAATTGTGCATTTATTACTTAAAACTGAGCTTGAGCAAGTAGCTCAATTTTTTAGTACTTCAGTTTTCTTATCTGTAAAATGGAATTATTACCTAACTTAAAAGGTTGAGACAATTTACTGCACTCATATATCTAAAATGCTCAGAAAGTACCAGGAACAAAGCTCAATAAGGGTTAGCTATTACTGTTATTATCCAGAATATATAAATTCCTACCGATCAATTAGAAAAATATAAGCAATCTCAGTTTTAATATAGACAAAATGACAAATACACATACGAATACACTCAACCCTCCATAATCAGATGCATAGAAGGTGAAAGAACACTGAATTCCAAGTTCACAAGTCTTTGATTGAATTAAAACATCAGGCCTGAAAATACCAAGTGCAGGATCATAATTTATAAAATATAGAACTCTGATATATTGGCGGAAGAAGTGTAAATTGACACAATATCTTTGGAGATCACTCTCAGAACATGTAATAAAGTTGGAAATGTGCAATAACCCACAAATTCCACATCTATAGCCACAACTTAGAAAAACTCATCATTTACAAATTGGACTTGAGACCACCAAACTGTCCATCAGTGAAAGAACAGATAAATAAATTTTGAAATATTTACATGATGGATTTCTAAGCCATGGTGAACATGAATATGGTAAATCAATTTTGAAGACAGTTTGGCAGTTTCTTACAAAACTAAATATACTCTTACCGTAAAATTCAGAAATCATGCTCACTGGTATTTACCCAAAAGATTTGAACTTGTATTGATACAAACACCTGTACACGAATATTTACAACAGCTTTATTTGTAATTGCCAAAATTTGTAAACAACCAAGATGTCCTTCAGGAGGTGAATGGATATACTGTGTGCATTCAGAAAATGAAATATTATGCAGCACCAAAAAGAAATGAGCTATCAAGCTGTGAAAAGACATGGATAAACCTTAAATGCATGTTACTAAGTGAAAGAAGCCAGTTGTAAAAACCTACATCCTATGGTATTTCCACTATACGACATTCTGGAAAAGACAAAACAATAGAGGCAGGAAAAGGACCAATGGTTGCCGGGGATTTGAAGCAGAAGAGGAAGAGATACACAGCCTCAGTATAAGGGATGTTTATGTCACTGAAACTATTCTTTATGATACTGTAATGGTGGATGCATAACATTATGCACTTGTCAAAACCATAGAACTGCAGATCACAAAGAATGCATCTAATATAATTCTTCACAAAGAATGAAACTAAAGTCTAATGAATCCACTAGACTTTAGTTAATAATAATGTATTAACACTGGTTCATCAATTGTAAAAAATGTACCACTCTGGTGCAGGATTCTGATGAAAAGGCTTATGAGAACCTAGTTTCTGATCAATTTGACTGTGAAGTTAAAACAGCTATAAAAAATATTTAAAGGGAAAAAATAATAATAGAATATCTAGAACTCATGTATGGATTTGAATAAT